CGTGAAGACATTTATGGGGGGTAAGAATCGTGTTCCCAAACACACTATATGAACAATTATTTAGATCTAAGTATCCTAGAATAGGGTTTACCATTTTACTTAATATAATGGATGGATTCTGGAGATCTTGTGCTTATTGCACTTGTAGATTGTCCACCCTTCTATTTGTAGAAGAAACCGTGTTTCAAAATGCAGTGGATGGTGGGAATTTGCCTTGGAAAGCTTAAGCCTTGGTTCGTCGGAGATCTCACCGTCGGTGAAGCTTTGACGGCGGGTTTGGCTTGGGAAAGGTGGAGGGGGATTGGGAGAGCTCACACACAAGAAATATGAGTTTGGGAGAGCTTGGGGTGAAAAATAATGCAAGGTCCTCTCAATGTTGCCTTAACACCTCTATTTAAAGCCTTAGACTTATGATTAATAGTCAAGATCATTTCTAGGTTTGATGAGGAGGGAAACATGACTATTTGGCCGTGGTTTGGGTCAAGGCATGGTTTGGAATATTTTAAATGCAATAAATAGGGAGGATTTGACTTAAATAGGTCAAATTTGATCAAATAGGGCTTGGTTTGACAAAGCCAAGTGTTGACCTAGTCAATATGGTCAAACAGGTCCAAGTAGATGGGGGAATGAGATAGAAATGGTTTGGGATTGATTGGAATTCAAATGAAAGGGATTTGGGTTAATTGGGTCAACCAACCTAGGTTGACCTGGTCAACCAGGTTGACCAAAGACTTGGGTCTAGGCTCAGCAGACCTGGTTTGACCCACTAAACCTAATGGAAGAGGTCTTGGGGTCTGGCTTAGTCAATTTGACCAAGTCAACCCCCCTTAACCTAAAGTGTAGGTGAAAACAAGGTCAACAGTAACTCTAACCCTTCTCCCCTTGGATGGTCGTCTCGACAAATAGGCTCTTCCTCTCGGATGGCCGATTCAGCAGCCAGGGTTGAAGCTCCTATAATGATATATTGTGATGTAAGTAGTTTTCCTTTTGCCATTTAGTCATGTGTTTTAGTACCCAATTTGCCTGCTTTTTACAAGGCTCTTCTTTTGTCATAACTTAAGGTTGGTTAGTCCATTTGTCTTCGAGTTGTAAAGTGATCTCTTTTGTTTGTAATTGTGCTTTAGAGTTAATGAAATTAGGCTTTGTTCAAAATATTTCCTTTACCTAATGGTGTGCTGACTCAATTCAAATTATTTTTTAAATTTCATTCTAAGGTTTATTCAATCAGATTATTATCTCAAATAATATTATGTTAAAAACACTAAAAATTAATTGGAAGCTCAAATAAAAATTGCAATGTCTTTTTTCCAGTTACCCTTTTTGGGCCTTTATATATATATATATATATATATATAAGATCAAATTGTATAAATCAATATGAGGTAAGAATCGAAAAGATTGAGATAAAAATTGTGAAAGTATTTGCGGTCAAATGACTTTGAGAAACTCATTTTTTCATACATTTTGTGATTTATCATTTATTAATTATAGAATAATGATAATAAAAGTGTAAAACAAAGTCTTTAAATATAATTTAGTTTATATTACTATTATAAATGATTATGATCTCACACTAAGGAGCATTGGTGATGTGCTCAATTGTTATGTGAGAGAGATAGATTAATAAAGAGATATTTTAATCATCTAAGTTTATGAACAATCATACATGAATACAATAAATGAAGTAAAAAAAATGATAGGATCTCAATATATAATATAGAAATAGGACTATTGTTAGAAATAATAAAATTGAATTTCTCCTTTGCCACTTCAGCAATTTTACAATTGTTTTTCCAAAAATTCGTTGCATTAGACGAAACAGGTTTCCAAGGAGAGGAATATCTAGCTAGCAACCACTTAGCAAGAGAGGAATATGAATTGTAACATCTCAGAATAATGCCGCAGTTGTAAGGAAAATTTAAAGCTTGTAATGAAGCAATACCCAAAAGAATACGGTTTACAGGAATTATTCCAAGATATAAGGTGAATTCTTCTACTTTTAGTATCCCCATGATATAAAAATTTAGAACATAACTTTCCTATAGACTTTCAAATAGACTTAGGTATGATCATGCTTCTAATCCAATAAGCCATAGTGTTTATAATGGTATATTTAATGTATTGTAGCCTACCAGCAAAGGAAAGCACCCTAGCCTTCCAATCAGATAATAACACAGTGATCTTCTCCATCAGAGGAGCAAAATCAAAAAGCTTTGTCCGACCCATGGATAAAGGAATGCCCAAGTAAGTAAACTTAGTAAAGACAATGTGAATTTGCAGCGTATTAGAAATGTCATTAGAACAAGAAACATTTGGTGAAATTATAATATAACTTTTATGTAAGTTCAGCTGCAACCCAGTAAGGTTAGAAAACAAATTAAGGGTTCTCATAAGCTTAACACAGTTATTAGTATCTTCCTTCCCAAATACCAAAAGATCGTCAGCATATGTAAGGTGAGACTGTTGAAAGGTATTAATTTTGAAATCCTCAAAACCATTAGAGTCGGAGTTAGAATTTAATAGGCAAGATAGAGCATCGAATAACAATACAAAATAGATAGGGACTAAGATGACAACCTTGTATTAGTTTGGTTGAAGAGGTAAAAAACCCTTCCAGTGTTCCATCCAGGCATATTGAGAAATGAATATCTTTGATACATGCTTTGATCCAGTTAATAAAAATAGTAGGGAAACCTTTATCAGCCATTCTAGTAAAACGAAAATTCCTGGATATTGTATCAAATGATTTCCTGATATCATATTTAGCACAAAAAAGGTCCAGCTAATATTGCTTTTTGAAGAGATTGATGATTTCCTTAGCCAAAATGGGATTGTCAGTAGCAATCCTATAGGGAATAAAAGCTGCTTGATTAATCTCTATGATATCAGGCATAATAATTTTCATATGAGTAGCCAAGATTCTAGCAATAATTTTGTGAAAAATATTGTAGAGAGCAATAGGCCGAAAGTCTTGTATATTTTCAGCATGAGATTTCTTTGAAACAAGTGCAATGGCAGTAGCTTTAGCACTTGTAGGTAAATAGCATTTACTGAAAAAAGATTTAATGGCCTTGCAAACTAAAGGACCGGTGATACTCCATTTTTTTTTTGTAAAAAATGAAATTAAACCCATCAGGACCAGACGTCGAGTTGGAGCAATCAGAATTAATAGCTAAATGAATTTCCTCATTAGTGACAGGCCTCACTAATGAATTAATAGCAGCTTCAGGGATTATTTTGCCTTTAGGAATAATGCTAGTATCATTTAACTTAGGAGGTACAGAATTATAAAGTTTTTTGAAATGCAGAATGATACCATGAATATTATTATTCTCTCGATCAAAGGTATGTTGAGTAGCAACATTAAGAGAGCTACCATTAAAAGCTTTTATATTCCTAATTTTGGAATACATAAACTTCAAATCCTCCTCGCCACATTTTAACATTTTAATTTTCAATCTTTGAATAATCCAAGAAGCATGAAGAGAGTTGTAATAATTAATATCCGCATTGATCTTCTTAAGTTCTCCACATAGATCTCTATTAAGAGGATCATTATCAATCATCCTTTGACACCTATCTTGTATTGCAGCTAAGGAAGCACATTTGTTAGCAATTAGATTGGAAGTACTCCAATTTCTTACTTTTATCTCTCTTTTTAATAGCTTCAACTTCTTATAAAGGCTAACAATAAGATTCCCTAGATCAGGAGTTTGAAAAATATTCAATAAAATGCTCCAGAAATCCGAAATATGGCTCCAATAATTTTTATACATAAACCGCTTCTGAGATTTGTTATGTGAAACAACTCTGAGAATAAGTGGGGTGTGATCTGAGACAAGACTTCTCAACACATTATAGTGGGAGTCAGGATAATGATTAATCGAAGCCTTATTAACTAAAACGCTGTCCAGTTTTAGATGAATTGGATTGTCTTGTCTTTGATTGAACCATGTATGAAAGTTGTCAGAAGAAGGAAGTTCAAACAGATTATTGTCAAAAATAAAGGAGTTAAACGGATTTAGCCTATCAACAGCTAGAATATTCCCACCTTTTTCTCAGACTGAAATCTACAAGTATTAAAGTCACCAATCACCACCCATGGCAGAGCACCGTGAGGATTAACAGCTCCCAAATCAGCCCAAAGCTTAGTTCTCTCTTCAAATGTATTAGAAGCGTAAACAGTAGAAAGAATCATAAGAGTATGAGACTCCATCATCAAATGACCATAAATCATTTGGGAGGAAGAAAAAATAGGATTAAAAGAAACTTTATACGAGTTCCATTTTATCCAAATACGCCCAGGAGAAGCCATCTCAAAATTATTATAACTGAGTTCATTCTCGAAAACCTTGTGTGTAGAGCAAAACCAAGGATCTATGAGATTAGAAGAAAGGATACGATTTTCAAGAGTACAAATTAAGTCGAGCCTATGCTCATGAACCAAATTTCTATAACAAAATAATTTATCAGGGTTATTGAAACCCCTGATATTCCAAGCTGCCAAAGAAGGACAATTCATAGGGAACTAAGATTTTTTATAAGGGCTTAATGCCTTATTCTTACAATTATGAAAAGTTAGACTTACCATATTTGTTTTATCATTTAAATTATAATTTTTAGGAATTCCAATTAAGCTTATTTAGCCTTAGATTCATTTAGGCTTTGTTCGGTAGAGCTTTTGATCATTGCTTTTCATTGCTTTCACGATTTTTTTGTGCTAGAAAGCTGTTATAGAAAGTAATAAAAAAATTCTACCAAATGAAACTTTAATTTTGATCATATAACATATTATTTCAATAATAAATACAATAAAAATAGAGAGAAGATCTTACATTTAATTTCTTCTTTTTTTTGCCAAATAGAGTTTTGAGTGCTTCCAAATTTAAGAATTACACTGAATTTCGAGTAAATTTAAATCAAATTTATGAATTGTATTAGTCATGACAAGTAATGATTTATACATTAAAGAGCGATGTACAAAGAAAAAGATATTATCATGATGAAAAGCAACTTGCATTATAAATTTTTGCCGTCTAATTGTGTCTATCTTGATAGTGACAGTAATAGAAACAAAGCAACAATAATGATAAATGACAAATAGTTTGTAGAAAGCTTGCAAACGAAACTATTTAATAGAAAAATGCTATGTTTTTCTTCCCTAAAAAACTATATAGATATTTCATAGACAAGATACCACATTTCATAGGAAAAAACACTTTTTGCATTTAGCGTTACGCTTCTTGGACTCAAGTTTCTTCCTCTCCTCATTGATTTCCTCTGTGAGCTTTCGAATCTTCTCATCCTGCGCTGCTAATCGGCTAAGCCTTTCAGCCTCCCGCTGAGCAGCTCGCTCTTCAGCTTCCAACTGAGCAGCTCGCTCTTCAGCTTCCAACTGAGCAGCTCGTTCTTTAGCCTGCATGTAACCAAAAATAAAGTCATTGTGTTAGGGCATAGATTGAATTGAGAAGAAGATCAATATAATAGATGAATTATTTAAATGGGTTTATTAAGTTTCTAATTAAATATTTGTTTAATTTAGTTTTGTGATAATTTAAATATGATTTAAAATAGTCCCTCTATTGAATTATTTTTTATCATATATGAGGAGCCAAGATACTATTTTAGATCAAATTTGAGTAGTCCAATGACTAATTCGAACTAATTAAATAGTTTGGGACTAACTAATCTAGGAACCATTTTGGATTTTTTGTCGGGCAAAATCTATGCAAATATTCAAGAAAATAATGAAAATGAGAAAATACAATATATATATATATATATATAATACAAAAGAGTTTTATTCAAGTTTAATCAACCGATGACTACTACATAAATCAACCTTATGGTTTATATACCATTGTTACCTTCTCTTCCTAACCCATCTCACATAGCCACTGGGTAACTCCTAATCGCAACAGTCAAGACCTCTACAAGACAATCTCCTTCCACATGTACACGGATAGCCCTACAACTATTAGTAAAGCATAGAAAAAAGAATGAATAGTTTACAACTACTTTCACATCACTTTATCTTTTATACCTTTCATGTGCAAGTTTATATTGTATACATAGGTTATTGCTACTTTAAATCCCTCCCATGCATAACATGTCTCTTGTCAAGTTATCTTTAAACTTTTGGTGTCGAAGTAAAGCTCCTTCCAAATGAAAGTGATACCCAACATGAAATATCAAACATTTACATCTACCACAGCTGCTAATTATAAAGGATGAACCAAGGAGATGACATACCTTGAGTTCTGCAAAAATCTTATATGAGTATGATTTTCCACCATTGTCCACAATAACAGACTCAACAAGAGAGAGCAGCTCATTTACTTGTTCCTCTCTCTTGATCATATCATTGGTGGTATTATCAAAAACGATTACTCTATTCTTGCATAGTTGAATGATGTTCTGCAAGAAAATTATTGAGGATGGAAAATAAATGTACCAGATGAAAGAGATAAAAATAAGTTTGAAGATTTAAATTGACCATATTCATTTAACTAGTTCAACTTTTGAATAACAAGATTTATTGTAAACTATAGATAAGTATATTTCTAATAACAAAATAAACTAAGATAATGAACATGAAGGGTGAGTAACAAAATCTTCACATGATATAAACAAATTTAGTGATGAAATATCTAAAATCACTTAGCTTGCATCAAAATTCAACTTTTGAACTGCAAAGTTAATCATAAACAATAATAAAGGCATATTTCTAATACATGGATCAGTGAAGATAGTAACCCCATTTAGTTTATGAAAATGTGCTTGTAACCAATGGAAAATTATGTTTCTTTAATGTCAATGGACTAATGAAGAGGCGAGGTACACTACAATTTAGAAATGCGGCTTGGGTCAATATATCTGATCATCAAATTTAACTTTAACTACTTCAATTTTTAAAAGTGTTGCGCAAGCTAAATATACTAAAAGATAGGGATAGTTTGTGTGAACAATTGGAAATAAGAGTCATTAATTTGAATAGGTAACAATTGTTGCATGTATTAGTAAACAAAATACAAGTACATAATTAGTTTAAAAATAGAAAAAAAATCAAAGTAGCCCTCTAACTATTTATGAGAGCCATTTTAATCCCATACTATCTAATGTATCAAATTTAGTTCCTTGATTACTCCAATTTGATATAAAATTAACCCTCGACTCCACAAATTAGATGCATAAATAATCCAACAGATATAACTTTAAATCACATTTGAGTAGTAAGAGTCTAAATTGAACATATTTATAATATGGGGCTATACTGACCCAAACTCAGAAACTATTTATAATTGTATTGCTTGTTTTAAGAACTTGTTGGATTACGCTCATATAATATGGGACTATACAACAACTTCTTTGTCACATAATGTTCTAACGTGTTACATGACCATAAAGCAATGGCTTCTAAGACAATGGGTTATAGTATGTTGCATAAATAATTACGTAATGTATTGCTATTGTATGCAGCTAACCTTTGCTATTATATATTGATAGATTAATATAACATATCACAGTTATAGTGCGCTTGTTGATTTTACACTTAGCAAAGATTCTTGCCCTCAAGAAAGTCTACATACAACATGCTGAAGAAGGCAATTAATATTATCAAGAAAAAATAAAAAATAAAACCCCTCAAACATTTTGGCAATAAATATTATAAAAAGAAAGATACATACCCTCAAAGGTTCTGGAGAAAGGCTAATAAAATCCTTCAAGCTTTTCTGTGTAGATTCCAGGATGTCTCCATTAGTGAAAATTATAATCATGTAGTCAACAATCTTATCCCCAAAAAGTGATTTCATACACTCAATGGCAGCCTCCTCTTCTATTGAAAAAGAAGATCTAAGGGAGAATACCATGAGTACTGCATGAATACCATCCTTGGCTAAATTAATGCCTTCGATTATCCCTTCACTTATTTGCTCAAAACTAAAAAAAGAATTGAACCCTACAAGAAAATCCATTGTCATAATAAAGTTATTAACATACTACCCATATTATAATCCATACAAATAAAGAAAGGAATTTAAAATTTTTTTATAATATATTTCGTAGGTTAGAATCATTAGCAAAAAAAGCAGTTAAATTGCTAAATACGGTGCTAATTGGCAAGTCAACGCATAACTTCAAATTACGATTTATGTAAATAGGCACAAGAAACATACAATCCTATTGAAATATACTTCATCCTCTAAATTTTATCCATCTTAAATAATCGTAGAGGGAAACCTATCAAGCTTGAACTTGATGTACAAGGGACTGACAACAAGCATAAGCCATTCTCATAAGAGAAAAATCAAATATAAACCTACAAATTTTCATTTTCAATAGAATTTAATTAAAAATTTCACTTCAATGCTTCTATGTGGAACATAATGGAGAAAAAACAGTGTATGGTATAATATATGGGAAAGCTTAACAAATGCATGTTGTCTCCAAAATATGTCAACTGCATTCTGAAATCTTAAATGACCACAACCTTATGATTGAAAGGTAAAACATGAGAAAAATACAAAGAAATATATCTCAACCTCTAAATAACTTTAGGTTAAGTCTACAATAGACAAAACCTAAGTAAAGCCCAAAATCATTGTAGGTTGAAAATGATTTTCAATTCCAATAAAGTTTGGGTTGATGGATCACTATAACATGACACTATGTCCTACACAATCAACTAAAGCAATTCAATGATCGGGGTAGGAGATGATTAAGAGCTTAAACCAATTTAATGGAGATTAAAGAGTGGAAGTTTAGAGGAAAGATAGAGAGACAAAAGTAGCTTGGGAAAGCCCTTGACTTTGCCCAGTTGAGGGGGTATACATAATCCTTTGGAAAAAGTGCATTTGGTATCTTGGTAGGGCGTATAGTTGATATAGAAGACTCTCGTCACCTTCGAGATACATTCTAGATCAAAATACTCCTCAATTGAGTGTATTCTGGCTGTTCGATTGATAGAAGGAAGAATAACTAAGACTATTAATATTAAAATGCATGTTAAACCATCATGCCCCTAATAATGATGCATGGATTGATGGACAATTTGAAATTAATAGGTTTTTGGATATCTAAACTAGATTATTGGATTAATATCATTGATTTAAATTGGATGATCAAATTAATGCTAATTGGACAAATTTCATCAAAGATAATTAAAGGTTGGCACAACCCTTGATATCATCAAATGGTGAATGAGCTAAAAGGACCATCATCAAGTTAAAACCTTATTATATGAATGCAGTGGAACACGAACACTGACATCCTTGATTGACTAGTTAGAATAATAGAAGTCTATTTTTAGAGTCATATCAGTTTCCCTCTTATATCTCGATTCTTTTGCAAAATTTCAAAAAACATGTTTTCTATCAAAAATATCATTGAACCACCAATTACATCTTTATTTCAAGGTAGGATGAACTTCTTTAACTAAAAAAATACTTCCAAGGCATCAATTTATGCATTTTTTCAAAATTGTTACTCAAAATATAACAAACACGCATTGTTCTTTTCTATGCTTGGGTGAATTTTAAGCTACTAAAATAAAATCCTTGCTAAATTTGATGATTTTGAAACACAAAATAAATTAATAATAAAGCAATATCATTATTTTTTATCAACCCATGGAAAAACTTAATAACCATCTTAAAAGCTTTGGTTGCTCTTCAGATGAACCAAAGTCGATTTGTGGATTAAAGATGTATTATGCATGAGATTGAACCAAAAACTGCAAGCTCAATCATCATAAATAACTTAAGCAACCTTTTTTTTGGGCTTACTTCAAGTGCACAAGACCTAAGAGAGCATTTTGGATGACCCAAAACTCAAGCATATGAGGCCCATGCATTTTTGCATGGGCTTTGTGCAGCCATAAGGGATAGTATAAACATTTCTATCATGCAGTACTATGAGTGTGCCTCTTACAAGAAATTTCTTTATTAAGCATCACCTTTAAGAGGAGAAGTTTTTTCATAGGCTGTTGAGTTTTTATTGACTCATAAGAGATAGTTGTGAATTACATTCCCTATGTAAAGCCTATTAATAAGAAAATTCTCATCATTTTATTGAGCTATTTTTCTACTTCAGGTGAAATGCTAAGGATGAATTTAGACTTTGAGCATTTGACAATTATCCCCTACATATGGTATTTATTTAATTTTAAAGGGGCTAGAATTGAACTTGGTTGCAAAGATTTCAACCAGAACTCCCTCTACGTGAATATATATCATGCAAGGTTCTACCAAGCTTGTTTGTTAAGTTTTAATTCAATACCCAAGTTGCATGCTCTCTGTTCATTGCAAGGAAGAAGTGGTGATCTCCATCTATCAAATATTAAAATTTCAATAAACCCCCTTGAGGCATTGTTTATTCAACAAGATGGCAATGGTGAGCGCAAGTGGTATCATTTTCCTTTGGTGTTGAGTAGTTTTCAAATGTCCTATAAACTTGTGTGGGCCCTACATATTTGCTGGAGTTGGGTAGGCTCTATGCCAATTTAGTTGGGTGAAAAGATGCAGAGTATTCTTCATCCAAGTATTAAAAAAGATATTATTTAAAGTTTAAAAACTCAATGAAAAGTCAAATCCAAAATTTAAATATTTTTAATGATTAAAAAATACATCCAAATTATACTTCAAATTTTGTATTAGTTTTGCATACAATTTTCAAATATAATTGAGTGAATGAACATATTTTTTGGGAAAATTTTAGGGTGATAAAATTGAATTGTAACATGTATTTTTTGTTAGCTATTGGTCAAATTTTGCAATATACAACCCATGATCTACCTCTATTGCATCTGTCTTCAACTATCAAAGATGACCATGGATACTTAAACATTTGGGCTTGCATGCACACCATGCAATCTATCCTGCAATAATTAGCTAAACAACCTTGTTTCAATTATTCCTAAAATATTGAATAAACATATTAGAGCATCTAATCACATGTTTATTATCATAAAAAAAACATATTGAATAAAGATAGTGAGACAAGAAGGGATAATTAGCTAATGATTGAGGAGAAAGGAAGGAGATGAGAGGAAATTAACAATTCAATTTTTCTCAATAAAACCCTGAGACAACCTCATGTATAAGGTCTTTAATTCATACTACAAATAAATTATCGTACAAATGCAAGTTTGAATATGTCTCCATTGCACATTCAACTAATATAAAAACATAAAAAACACAAATAAAATAAATAGACGTATAGCTAAAAAATGGCTAAAATTCATTCAAATGATAAGCTCCATCATTTCACTCGAGTCAAGAGAAAGTCTTCTTCAAACAATTGGAATGTGATGGCTTTATGGTCATGGAAGCAATACCATATCATGTACCTCTTGAGGTACACATAAAAGTAGATAGGTTTTGAAATCCGACATAAGTGGAAGTGGCCAACAATCATGAAAAACTAATTGAACCATTAATGACTAATCAAACTATATATAATATAAAGGCTTCCAAGCTAGGCATCGACTTATATCATAAATCAAATCTGCAATGTAGGCAAGTATTAAATGTGTGGATAAAGCAAAATGTTCACCACTACAACCAGTAAAGAGTTGTGACTCATTTCAATTCCTTTTGGTTGCCATGCTTAATTAACACAGACATATATAAGTTCTATAACTTCCTCCTAGCAAGTTCTATCACAAAAATTTATAATAAATGTTGCTTCATATTTTTTGCATTTTTTGTTGTATGTATATTTTAGAGTTCGCAATAACAACAACTCTTATAAATTTTTATCCTCTAACAAGTGAGGCTTACCTTCCTCACATTTTTTTAATTTTTTTTAATTATGCTTATGTGAATGCATTAAATATTTTTAGTCTATTCATGATAATGTTATCCCACGCTCTAAACTGAAAGGTACAATTGTGTAAAAAGAGTAGACCAATTTCAAAGAACATGAAAGCATATTTCGACATGGTAAATAAAACCAAACAATTTATGTATTCAAGTTATGATACAAAAACATATAATATTCTAAAATCAAATATTTAAAAATGTATATGCATTATTTGAATTTAATGAATATTCAAATATTAATAAAGTGGTGAGCATTACCTGGAGTGTCTATAACATTAATAATACGGCCATCCTTTCGGATAATTCTTTCTATATCACAACAACAAGGTACTCTCGAACGGTAAAGCTTAGTTTCGAAGACTTCGCTTCCAAGAATGTTATTTCCAGTTGCACTCTTGCCTTGACCAACCTTCCCAACAATGACAATATTAATAGTATTTCTTGCGATATTCGATTTCCAATCGTTAATTGGATTGGCCTCCATTGTGTGCGACTAAACAAATTGAAAAAAAGACTTGTAAATTAATCAAAAGCTAAAAAGTTGAGGCTACAATCTTACATACTGAATGAATAAGCATACTTAATGAGATATCATTAGTTTTGTAAAATTTGAGACATTCAAGCAAGTTTAGATTTGGTTCTTAATTAGAGAATATGTTGAATTGGGTTCAAGCTATAGAGATGACTCCATTAAAATGAATATGGGTGTACAAATTCTATCTCCATTATACTGAGGCAAACAAGAAACCACTCAATTTCTCATTTAGTTGCTTGCAAATAAAAAAAATGATTTAGAATAAAATAATTTTCTTTTCTTTCATTATGATTATGCATGTAAAAATAAAATGATAACATTTTAGGGGGTTCTGAGAAGGATTTGCCATGCTAAAAATTAATGTTATTCTCTAAGTGCCTATCTAATGAATCTTGCTGAAATAAGGATTTGCCTACTTTCGGTGGCTTGAGTTACTTAGTTGGTAAAGCCTCGAGAATGGAGATGGGACAACTTGATGCTTATAATCACGAAGAAGATGCACAAAGCAAGTCTTTTGGAATGCCCAACTTTTACTACGAGGAGAGACAAACATGCAAATCTATGCTATTTTTATAGGCTTGAGCTTCCTTCCATGTCAAATTGTGGCCTTTTATTTTAATTAATTTTAATTATTCAAATCAAATCCTAACTTTCCATTTCAATTATTATATTTATAATTATTTTATTAATGTCAAATATACACTATTAATGACTAAATTATTGTTATAATGCATTCATTAATTGTCATATATTTATAATAAAGATTTGAGTTTTCTTCCATATCAAATCGTGGCCTTCCATTTCAATTAATTTTAATTATTCAAATCAAATCACAAGCTTTTATTTCAATTATTATAGTTATAATTATTTTATTAATGTCAAATATAC